GAACTCCCCTGATTAGATGTCAGCAGTGTATGATTTGAGATGCTCCACGAGCACTGGGATCGCTGGACCGTATCTCCACTGTCACTCCTGAGCTTGGGAGGGTTTCCAGACCAGTGTTCCACCCCAAACCAGACCTGGCTGGTCTGATTTAATTATATTGAACAATATTTTGAATTGTCTGCCAGAATCAAGGTTTGGGTCTGTAACAAACCAGGGGGGAGGCACCATCCAGGGCGGGAAGAACTCACCCCACAGACAAATCAGTATCTTGGTTAATACAGGTACAGAGAGAAATGACCTTTTCATGAAAATACAGCAGGAGCTTCTGCCAGATTTGCGGTCTTTGGGGTGCAAGGCCTGTGCTCTGTGGGGTAACCACCGAGCCGTGCGTGCGGCTCACTCGGGAGCACGGGAGGCAGGGAGGGGGCTGATTTGGCTGTGCAACCTTTTCCCTGTTGGTCTTCCGTGGGGTCCTCTGTCAGGTTTAATTGTGCTTCCTCTGGTGCAGCCACCCAGAGGGGTACAGCCTGTTCCTGGCCCGCAAATAGAACTGTCGCTCGATCCGCGGCGGGGGGGCCTTCCCTTCCCCTCCATCCGGGAGGGAGTAGGCAGCTCTCGGAGCTGCTGGGGATGGGGGAGAGCCTTGGAGTTATCAAAGCACATGTCAACTTGATGAGAGCTCCTGGCAGGGCTCCCTGAGTCGCTGCTACACATGTTCTGCTCGATCTTGTCAAGTGAAATCTCGGCAGCGCCCGTTGGATATGGGGACTGTCCGTGGAGGAGCAAAACTCTGCCTGCACTGTCTGCCCAGCTCTGTCCACCCGCACATTCCCACAGGATGATCCCATCACCAACCTCTGATAAAACTTCCTTGCGTTTCCTGTGGCTGCATCTAACTTTGTAGCGAGGTATTGCTGGAGAATTTTCGCTGGGTGAGCATCCAGGAGTTGGCCTCTGATCCTTGTGGGCCTCCTCCAACTCAGGGTATTGACATTATGATTTCTCCTCTAACTGCACCTTGAAAAATGAGGATTTGCCTGTCCTGATCCAGGAGTAGAGCTCTTCCCTCTGGAGACCAGAGTGCTCCTGCCTTCCCAGGCGGCGTGAGGGTGGTGGCAGATCCCAAGGCTGGGAGAAGAATGGGAGGAAGGTGCTGTGCCTGCTGTGGGCACCGTGTCAGTGTTCTGCTTTAGCCTCTCCATCAGCCATGCAGGGTCCTTGCAGCTCTACACTGAGGGGCTCAGAAAGCCCAAGGAGAGCAGGGAGGGTTCAGTCCCAAACCCCTGACTGTAGGTAGAGGTTCCTGTATCCAGGTCATCAGAGGTAGCACGAGGATGTGCAGAGGGGCCACCCCTATCTCTGCAGGGGGATCTAGGTGGGTATCTGGCCTGGATACATTGGATTAGTGTCCCAAAGATAGGAGAACAGATATTAATTATGAGATGGGAGGATGTGAAGGAAGCCAGGATGTCTCAGGCACCCGAGCATCACCCTCTGCTCTGTTGCAGTGAACTTCCCCCTCCCTGGAGTCTGTTGCTCCCTTCCAAGGAGGGAGGTGGCTCCTTCATCAGGTTTTCAAACACAAGAACGTGAAAACCGTTAAACTCACCTCAGGAACCGAATTGCAAAAGCAAGAAAGTTAAAATAAATTAAAAAAAAAAAAAAATCCCCTTGGTTCCTGATCGTGCTGAGATCAGGGGTGGGGGAGGAAGAGATTTTGAAAAAAAAAAAACATTTAAAAAAGAAACAGCACCCCTGAGCAGTGAAAAGAACAACATCCAAGGAGCTGCAGGGAAACAGGGCATGAATGCAGCCAGTCAGGAGTGTTGCTCAGCTGATGTTCACAAGAAGGTTTCAGCTTGCCCCGTTAGAGACCTCAGCAAACCTTCGAGACAGAGACAGCATTTAGAAATGCCCCTGAGGTTTTCCGTTACTCTGCAGCAGGCTTGGTAAACATGCCAATAAATGCTGGAGAGACAGGGGAAAAAAAAACCTTCCAGAGGAACAGACCCGAGTTTTCAGCTGCTCAGTCCTTCGCGTCCACGGCTGCTGCTGCCGCTGGTGATCGACACGGGGGAGAAGGAGGCAGAGTTCAACCTTCTGCTGGGTACTGAGTGGTGCTGCAGGTAGTGCTGGGAAAAACAGCTTGGAGGAGGCTGAAAGTTACTCCTGGAACCATCTGAGGGAATGTCCTGGGTGGAGACAGAAAGTTAACGGGACTCCTGTCGCGGGGCGCTTGTGAGTATGGAAACCTCTCTGCTCTCCTGTGTGGAGTACAGGGGAGAAACTGCCTGTGTTGATCCAGGTTCTGGTGGCCCTGAGGGATGGGTACCCTCTTGATTCCTCCTGCTGCTTGTTTTAATGGTCATCCTCATGGTGAGGGGGAAGGATGTTCAGCCCTGGCACTGGTTGGGTTTTCTCCTGGAAGAAACAGCCGAGTTGGTGGCTCTGGAGTCGATTGTTACTCCAAACTTCTTCCTCTCTTGGCTCAACTGTGTGTAAACCCCACAGGGTAGAAGAGAGACACCAGCATCCCCAAACAAGTGAAAAAGACAAGTTGTTCTGCTGGGGAGGGTCTCAGCTGACTCTAATAAATTAACAGTGGGGAGGGCAGGTTTCCTCAGCTCGGAGATTAATGGCTGCTGGCCAGCGGTTCAGAGCTGTTGGAAAGGCACAAAAGCACCTGAGGACGGAGGTGTGTAATTAATGACTCTTTAGATGGCTGGAAATGGTGTGTGTTTATCTAATGGGACACACTTTGCTGCTTTCTGGCTTTCCTGGAAGTGGCTGTTAAAAGCTGTGACGCACGTTCGCTCCCTGGGAGCTGGTCTGGTCTCCTGGGCATTGCTCTGAGACCCAAACCTGCCTCTGAGCAGGTGTTTGTGGGTGACTTTCATTCCAGGCCCACCTTGCTGCTCCACAGGTGAGGCTGGGGGTTGTTCTGAGAGCCACGAGCAGCGACAGCAGTGTCCAGAACGTCATGGGGTGTAACTGGGAGCCACTGGGAACGACCCATCTCTGCCTTCCCCTCCCTGAGCTCCTGCCTGAGCAACGTGGCAGCAGCCAGAAACCCTTCACCCATTTGGCAGCTGCCTCACGAGGAGCTTTCTTCATGGAAAGGGTGCTCAGGCGTTGGCAGGGGCTGCCCAGGCAGGTGGGGGAGTCCCAATCCCTGGAGGAGTCCAAGGAATGCCTGGACATGGCACTCAGTGCTCTGGGCTGGGGGACAAGGCGGGGATCGGGCACAGCTTGGACTCGATCTCAGAGGGTTTTTCCAACCTAAATGTTCTGAGCTGCTGCCAGCTGAGCAACTGGCTTTGTATTGGGGAGGAGGGTGAAGTTTGATGGAAATGATACTGCTCATCATTCCGTGTGTTCCTCGCTCTCCTGTGTATTCCCATCAATACCTGCTCTGCACCTCCTCGCCAGCCCTGATGTCAGTCCCTCTGAACTCAGAGCCTGGCAGTGAGTCACCTCGGAGAGCAGCTGCTGCTGGTGTGCTTTTCTGGAGCAGAGAGGCGGAAACACACGGAAATATTTTGCTGATTTGAGTCTTTAGGGCTGCAAGAAGAAGTCACTTCGGGGGAGGGAGGGGCAGAGATGTTAACTTGAGGTCACTCAGAGCCAAGCTGTGATGTGTGTGCAGACCCTTGGTGACATCCCAGCTGCTCTGAGCTTGTTTCATGTCCCATGAAGCTGAGCAGGGCTGAACTTTGAAAAGCAGGGGTTGGTGCAGTTTAGATACAGCTGTGCTGGCTGAGCTGGGTGTGTGTTCCTGCAGGAATCCCTGCTGCCTGGGGGCTTCTGCAATTTAATCCCCACAGTCAGTCTTGATTTATGATTTTTGTGCCTTCTCTCCGTTAAGTTTGTCCAGGGAGCAGCTCCAACAGGGTCTGTGGGAGCTGCTCTGGCAGGCAGTGGTGCTGTTGGTGGTGGGAAGCTGGGGAATGGTCGGGTTTGGTGAGTTTGCTGTTGCAGGAACCACACAGAGCTCCGTGGTTTCCATTCTCAGGGCTCAACTTTGGGGTGGGTTTCCACTCACTCAGGCATCCATTCCCCCTCCCCCAGGATTTCCCCTGAAGCCTGGAAGTTGTCATGGGACCTTGAAGGGAGAGCTTTGGCTCCTGCCCTGCGTGGTGTTGCTGGTGTGGGATGTCATGTGGGAATCAGCTCAGCTGAGCCTTTGGGAAAGATCAGAGAAGGGGAGCAGGAGAGTGGGAAGGCAGGAGCTTTCCCAGGTGTGGTGGAGGCATCCCAGGGCTATTTTGTAGGGACAGAGCAGCTGGAAGCAGGTTGGAGGTCTGTGGAGACAGAGGTTTGGAAATCAGGAGCTGAACTGTGTTTCACCCATTCTGTTGTTGTTGGAATACCATGTTAAAATGAATTTTGTGAAATCTCAAATAAATATGAATGCTGCCAAATTTTGATTTCTCTGTCAGGTTCAAGGCAAGGTTTTGCTCCCCTTAAGTTTAGGCTTATGATAGTTAGAAAATATTTGCTCCTTCACTTAGTTTTCCAGCCCTTGTGTCTGTAGAGAAAAGCTCAAAGTTGAGTCCCAGGAACATTCTTTGAGTTAAAAACATGAAGATAAAGCAACAAATCCACAGATGTATTATTAAACTGTATTTTTGTTATGATTTTTCTCAATGCCTGTCCCATGACTTTTGTGGTTTAGAGCAGGGTTTGTAACTCCTGAATTCCAGAGACCCCCTCTGAGCTCAGGGTTGTGTGATCTGGGTCCTGGTTCAGCGGTGAAGGCCTCACACAGCCCGAGCTTGTGCTGACTGTGCTGGGATAGTGCTTTGAAAAAAAGACCCAAAACAATAAAGAACCACCCCCCCTTTGAATCTCAAGGCCAGCACAGCTGCAACATCCCATCCCTTTGGCTCTGCAGTGAAACCAGAGCTGAGGATCTGCCGTGGTTTGAGTTTTCTCTGCGTGACGTTGGCGCTGTGGGGTGAGTGACATCCCCCCTGATGTGGGGGTGCATTGTTTTGCAGGAGCCAGGCCAAAGAGACTCCAAAGGAACAGCATGGACAGCTTAGACTTCCTCAAGTTCCCTTCTGAAAAGGTAAGCAAAGATGTCTGGCCTCGAAGATGAAGTGTCAGTAGGAATCTGTACACAGATTCCCACTGGTTTGTTGACTGGCTTCATTTGCAGCGAAATATGCAATTAGCAGATATCACTGGAGTCAATGGGATTAACCAAAGAGGGTTTCTAGAGAGCTTGGAAGAGAGGAACAGCTGGTCTATTTAAAAAGGCACTTGACACTCAAAGCTGAAAATCCACTTCTGTGCTTCTTTGAGAAAAAAAAAAAAAGCCCTTTCTTGGAAGGGTAATCGTGAGCGGTTTAGCCCCTGCAGGGGCTGGTGGCAGATCCTGGTGCCTTGTCACCCTGCTGGAGTGACAGAGAGGGCAGATGCAGGAGTTGGAGCGTTGCAGGAGGGTTCTGTTCCAGGGGCTCCAAGGATTGCCTCTGCTCCGCTTCGCTGCTGGGAATGTCAGATCCAAGCAGATCAGCGTTTTCTCCGTGTCCCCGGGGCAAGAGCTGTTCCTGCAGCCAGCTGGGAGGCACTGAGCCTTTCCAGCTCCAGGGATCGTTAAAGTCTCTCAGAAAACCCTCCTCAGGATGCTCTGTCTGCCCAGCAGCAGGCACTGGTGCTGCTGTGGGGCTCAGTTGTGCCTGTTCCCAGAGGAGGTGGCCAGGCAGGCAGCCACACTCTGCCTTTTTGGAATGTCTTTGGCACAAATAATTTACATTCATCCAGTGCTTTCCAGGCACAGCTTTCCTGAGCATCCCAGGGAGAATTTCCCCTTTACAGAACTGTCACAGAGAGGAGAAACTTTTTCAAGCTGCAGGTGGGTGTAAATGGTCAATGGGAAAAAGCCTCAGGCTTGAAAAACCATTTTGGAGCCTGAACATCCCAGTAAGCGCTGGCAAGGCCAGACAGAAGCTCCTCCCTGAATTGACTGTCTTTGGGAAATAGATTCTATGTGCCCTGATGTGCTTTTATCAATTTTCTCAGCTGCCCCTTGGCCATTTTGGCCCCTGCTCTCACCAGTGTGACTCCAACCCCGGGGTGTCGATGGCAGGGACAGCAACGTCCGATGGCAGGGGACATTGGATCGCGTGTCCTCATCGGAGCAGCACAGCCCAGAGGGCTGCCTGGGGGGCTCTGCTGCTGTGGGACTTGCTGCTGATGCTGTTAATGCTGTTGGTTTCCTGCTCTTTGCTGTGAAAGCTGAACCTGAGCATTCAATAGCTCGGCCAGGGTCACGGATGTCAGGGCTTTCATGGGGAGGATGGAGTAAGCAGGAGCTGTGGAGTCAGGTGTGAGTTCTCCTGTTCCCCCTGCAGTGGTCCTGTGGGGTGTGTGAGTTCACCTCTGCTTGAGACAGTGTTTTGGACACAGCTCCCCTTCTTCTCTGCTGCTCTGCTCGTAGGGAAAGGGGATTACAGCCGTGGGAGAGGCTTGTTTGCTTTGAGCTGGCTGTGGTGGGAGTGATAGGATTGTGAGGTGCAAATCAGTGAACTGTGATCTCTGCAGCGTCCCCTCTGTATTGTCTCACCTTCTGCCCACCAGCTCTGGCAGAGGCAGCCTTCAAAGTCAGCAGGTCAGGAGCTCCTGTCCAGTGCCTCTGCACGGGCTCATGTGTTGGGGCAGAGTTTGTCTGCCAGGGAAAACACCCACGTTGGTTCTCAGGGCCCTTGGCAGATTGCAGGGATCCTCCTTCCTGCTCATCCCTGTCTCCTCCATCCCGTGCCCTTTTCCTTGGTTTGAGCTTCTCTGGCTTTAGCTCCTGGCCTTTGGTTCTTGTTTATTCCTCTCTGTACCAGACTAAAATCTCTTCATCACATGCTGGGTTTCACCCTGAAGGTGCTTACGTGCTGTAATTGAGTCATCTCTTCTGGCTGTCATGCACTGAGCAGTCTGAGGGCTCCAACTAAGGCATTGTAAGGCAGTTTCTAGTTCTGAAATATATTCTCGTGGCTGCTTCTCGAGCTGTGGACACCGGCCTGGCTGCACTGGTCCCATTAATAGCATCCTGGGAAATGAATCTCTCCTTACTTGTTCTCACTATTCCTGTTTGCAGTCTCTGCCACCTCCATTTCCCAGACATTTCCTGGGGGTGATAATCCTGTGTTTGTGGCTGTTGGGAGCACTGAGCACAAGCATTTAAGGGCAGGAGTGAGACTGCTCGTAGCCTTCTGCTGTACTTACATTATCCTGCTGTCCCCTCATCCTGCTGGTGATGTGAGGGCTGGCAAAGAGCTGGATGGGACTCCATTATCCACGTCCATCTGCCTTTTAGGGCCCTTACCCAGTGGTTTCCTTCTTGCTGTAGGCAGTGGGAGACTCTGAGGCAGGCAATGCTCTGTCTGTGCTGGGAGGCAAATCCCAGAGGTGGAAAATGCTGTGGAGAGCATCCTTCCCTTGGGCCTGGTCGGGTTATCCATGGGCTGCTGCAGGGCTGGGCACTGGGAACGAGTGGAGGTACAGCCAGGGGAGGGACTTGTGCCAAGAGTTTGGTATCCTGGGCAGGATGAGCTTGCCACTCTGTTTAAAGGAGGGTTTTAGGAGTGCAGTTGGCAGGAGTCACTCGCAGCAGTGCCTGTTTCTGCACCTGTCATCCCTCATTCCCTGTGCCCATATAAATAAACCAGCCCCGCTCCTACCTGCATACCTGGGCGTTTTTAAGAGGATGCTGCTTCTCCCTGTGGAGGAGTTGACTCCTGTGTGTTGTCTGGGTGATGTTTCCTCTCCACTCACTAAAATCACACCCTGCAGGGACAGACCAAGTGTCCTGGTTCAGCCCTGCAGGTGGTGAGTGGCAGCTCCCACCCTCCCAACTCCACAGTCACGTCGTGCTCCCGCGTCTCCTGTTCCTTGGGTACGTGCCAGGCAGATCTCCACGTAAACCTGGGACAGGCAAGTGGTGCAATGACTTGTTCCTTGCTTTCCCAAGGACCAGAATGGGGACAGCCACCACGTGGGAGACCTGAAGATCTCGGGGAAAGAGTTCCTGTCGTTACCCGCGAGGACGAGGAAATACCGGGAACACCCGTCCAGTTCGGAGAGGAAGTCCCAAGGGCCAAGTGCATCACCCTTGGATGCTGGGGAAGTCCGAGTGCAGGTGTCACAGTCGGTAGGAAGATGGTTTTTATACATTTTGTATTTTTTATTTTAGTGCTGATTCGGGAGTTTCTTGCAAAGAGTGTTCTTATTTCGTTTCTGACGTGGTGCAGGGTTGGAAAACAGAGCCCGTGCGTAGCTCTGCTGCTGGCAGTTTGGCAGACTTGGGCAAACCATTTTACCTCTTTGAGCCTCGGAATTACTGACCACTTAACAGAGCAGTGGCACCAACCTCCACCACAAACTGGTTTATGAGAGTCTGGTATTGAGCTGTGATATTTGGAACCTTCTCTTGAGGGACAGGAGTCTGGACCTGAGCTTTCCTGGCGCTGAATTCCAGGAAAACACAGCAGTTTGGACCCCTTGCTTCGTTGAGCTTGATTTTTTCAAGCCTCCTGGGGCTCATGGGGTGTGGGCTTGTTGCCTTCAAGACACAGAGCCCTTCTCAGGCCTGTGATGAGCAGCCAAAAGTGCCGGTTGCCAAATGTGGGACCGCGGGTGTTGTTCCCCCTCATCTCCTGCTCACACCGATGGCCGGTGGGCAGAGTGGCCTGTTGGAATTCATCGGGCAGTAGGCAGAGATGATGGAAATCACTGTCCAGGAGCTGCTCTTTGGAGGCAGTGCAGGTGGAGCACATTTCCTGGGGGGCTGCAGGAGCTGCGCCAGTGTCAATGGATTTGCAGGTCGCTGACCTGGTGGGGAGCTCTGACTCAGTCTGTGCTGGTCTCCCCGGGTGATGAAGGGGGGATCCACGTCCTGAAGAGCTCTCCAGGTGCCTTTTTGATGTCTTCAGCCTGACAGCTGAGCTGTCTGTGGGCCGTTACCTTCCGGTTGTGTTGATGTTTGTTGTGACACGGAACAAACACAAATACTGGGGAGGTTTTCCTGCAGCTGTGTTGGTTTTTGTTCTGGGTCCTGGAGACAGGGATCACACCCACAGCCGTGGCGTGCTTCTGGCTCGTGGGAGGGGGCTTGGAGATATCTGAACTCTGTGATCTCAAGTGAGAAGCCCCAAGTCCTCAGCTTGTTGCCAGGAGATACGGAGAGTAACAGGGAAGATCAATGATCTCATGGTGCTTGGAAGTATTTAGGCTTTTGCTTTTATACTGAGTCTGTAACACACTATCACAGCCCTGATTATGCAGCGATTCCAGATGGAATAAATCCAAGCCAGGAAAGATAGGCCTATTTTTTTCTTGGCATTTAAGAAAAGTGAAATTAAATATTTTCATGCTGGGGCTGAGCTGCAGAGCTTGGGGATGAAGCCTGGCTGTGGAGTTGGGGATGCTTGAAAGCGTTTCGAGCTCTGAGTCCTTTGTTCCTGGTCTGTGGATCGTGGGGAGAACATATCCTGCTCTACCTGTGTGCATGGGGGTGTGTACACAGCCCTTTTTACCACAGACATTCCTGATTTTCGGTTCTCTGGCGACTAGAAACAGGATCTTTACACTAACTGGGAGGTTTTTTTAGACTTCTCTGAGCTCATCCTTCGTTCCCAACAGCGCTCGTGGAGATGGTCTGATGGGGAAAAGCATTTCCTACCGCTCACCGGTGCAAACATGATCATTGAGAAGGAAAACAAAGCTCATCTGAGCCAGAAAGGAGCCAGCAGCATGGGGGCACACCAGGCAATACAAAGGCAGAAAAAAATACCCCCCCACTTCTGCCAGAAATACCCTTGTATTTTTAACTCAGACATTCAGCCAGAGACCAAACAAAAGCCACGCTCCATCAAGAGCCAGGAAAAAGCTTTCCTGAGGAGTGTGGCTGTGGATCTTTAAGCTGTGTCTAAAAGTGGCCCTGTGGGACCTTGCCAGCCACTGGTGACCTCCTGGCAGTGGGGTTTGGTGAGTGGCCCTGACAGGGTGTCTCTGTGGGACCTTCTGGGGGACACAGCAGGGTCACTGCAGGGAATTGTGTTGTGTGGGTGCTCCCAGCCTGGCTCTGTAATGTTTAAAGTCAGTGTTGTCTTACCAAAAGCAAAGCAACCCATTGCCTTGTGTCCTGCTGCTGGTCCCTTCTGTCAGGGGGTGCTGGTTCTTGGGGGGGTTTTTTGAAGAGCTGCAGTTCCATGGGAACTTTTATTAATCAAACGTAGCAAACCCCTCCCAAATAGGAGAGAAGGTTTTCCAGGTCAGGGAGTTCAGACAAGATCCCCCCCCACACACCCCGATTTCTCATTTTGTGAATGCTCAGAGCAAAAATAATCCGTCAGTAAACAGCGAGTCCTTAACTCAGAGTGAGCTCTGATGGTTGATCTAAGGAGATTTTATGAGGTGCCACAGTCCCTGCTGTCCCACCACCACACGTGGTCCTGTGTGCTGCTCTCCCAGGGTCGATCTGCAGAGAGGAGCCCAGGCTGTGTGCAGGGATTCCCAGGAAAAAACCTCCTCCCAGGACTCATAGGTGGAGTGATGCAATCTCTGGCTAAGTCCTGCTGTCAGCACAGCCACTGACCTCCTTCCATCCCCCGGGATGGGGAGTTCCTTGGAGAGCAGTACCCGAGTCAGAGCTCCTGGATTTCCACCCATCCCCTGCTTCGTGTTTGCCTCCCCCTTCCCCCTCGGTGTGCTGGGGCAAGGCTGCCTCCCTGCCAGCCCCGGGGAGGTTACAGAGGCGTGATGGTGGCTGCAGAGTTGTTTGAGCTTGGGATGGCAGGAGCTGCGGTGGTTGTTATTAGCATTGGTGATGATGCTGCTAATTACCGAGCTGCTGGGAAACTCCCCACGGGAGGGGGCGGGACAGGGGAGGGCAGGCAGGGAAAAGTGCAGGGAGGCGAAGCGAGCCGGGGGATGGAGAGGAGCCTGTCCCTCCTGGCAGCTCTGTCGGGCCCTGAGAGAGGGGCTCAGCCTGCTGGCAAAGCCGTGGGGATGCTGGGATGGATAGGAGAAGCCATGGTCCAGGTACTGAGGAAGGTAGGAGAGCGTGGCAGGTCCCTCCCTGCGCCTCGGACCTTCTGCCACTGCTGAAGGTGCTCACACAGGAGGGTCCTGGGGCTGGTGGGGCAGAGAGGGGATTCTTTACCCCTCCCGTGGCCCCGTGAAGTGGGGGGATTTCCCCAGTGGGAAGGAGCAGCACTGCCTGGCTCTGGAGATGGGCGAGGGCAGGGTCCTGTCCGCCTTTGAGGTCAGGTGTGGAGCTCCCATGGGAATCCTCAGGGCTGTGAGTGCCTCGTTCTCCACGAAGGTGGGTTTGGTCTGGGAGAAGCTGGTGAGGGTGAGACATGTTTGGTCAAAATTTTTGCTCTGTTGCAGCAGAGCCCTGAGCAGAAGGAGCTGGGTTAGAGCTCGGTCCCTGTGCCTGAAGTTGTGGACAGACAGATCCCAGTCCCTCTAAATCCCTGCCCTGGGCTCGTGCAGTGCACACCTTCTGAGCTTCCTCCTTTAAAATGAACATCAAAGCAGAGGTTTTGTAGTACATGAAGCTTGCAGACATCAAAGGCTTGCTCATGAATTTAACCCCCCTGCTCCACTGTGGAGAAGGTCATAAATGCTCCTGCTTGGGATTGACTTGGTAAGAGATGTGTTTTAGGGGGTTACCAGAAGGTAACTAGAAGGTTACTGGAAGGATGGGGTTTTTTCTAACACTTCAAAAATATCAGAGATTTTGTCCCTCACTCTTCTCTCTGAGAGAGAAACCACTATGGAAGAAGGAGAGGATGCACAGGAGAAAGGGGCTGTGTATTCCATAAAAGACTGTTTGGGAAGGGCTGGGAACCTGCCTCAGTTCTGGGCCTCGTGTTTAAGATCAGCACTGAACTGAAGTCTTTGAGGCCAGTGGGGCTGTGCATGTGCCAGAGCTGCACTGAAATGGGTCAAGGTCCAACAGCTGAAGCAAAAACCATGGGGAGAGGTGAGGATCAAACCCACTCCCCTCCCCTCCCTGGGGATCTGAGCTCTAGAAATGGTCCAGTTCCTCTGGACTCGCCCCTTCCCAGGGAGTGCACCAGCTCGAGGGAGCTCTCCCAACCTGCCCCCCACCCTGTCCTCAGCAAAGACCATTTATAGTCAAGAGAAAGAGGAGCTGTGTTTGATTGCAGTGACGACTTGCAGAGATGGGTTGCTGATGTATTTAGACACTGAACAATTCTCAAGCTGCATCGCCAGACATTCCCTAGGACTGATGTTTTTATAAGGCCTTTTTTTATGATTACAGTGAGAAGCAACCATAAAAGAAGGGACAGTTTTGTAGATGATAGGTCCCCACCCCAAAGGCAGGTTGCCAGAGCTCTTTTGATGGTTTTCTGTCTCGTGATTCCCTGGGGGGGATTGTTGGGTTGCAGGATGGACGTGGTTGACCCTCTGCCTGGCCTGCAGGTGTGAGTGTTCAGTGCCGGGCTCGGTGGCTGTGGCAGGGAGGTCCTGCCTGTCCCTGCTGAGCCATGTGTTGTCCAGGCAATGCTCAGATGTCAGGTGTCCCCATCCATCCCCTGTGGCTTCCCTGGGCACTGTGGAATGGGCTGGGTGGAAGGATACATCAGCCTCGGGGGCTTCTGGCCCCGGAGCATCATTTCTCTGGTTGTCTTGTTTGAGTGAAGATTAAACTGATGCTTCCTCAAGCCCCTCAGGAGCTGGAACACGGGGTTAGCACCGGGCAGGCAGCCTTTGCTGCTCTGTGATGTTTTGTACATCTTCCCTCCCTTTTACCATCAGGTTGGTCGCTGCTTCATCTCACTGATGTGTGAACTCCCTCAACTCGAGGGCAGTACAAAGCACACCCTTCCTTTGTCCCGCAGCCTCGATGTTTGTTTAACTGCAGGGGTGTAATTACACCATTAGTGTTGGTCGGACTTTCTGGTGTAAACGTGCTCCCAGAGCGAGGGGAGTGGAGAGGAAGGGAGAAGGCAGAGCCAGGGAGAGAGGGAAGGCGGCTGCTGCTAAATTTATTTCTGTTCCTATGACACCTGGAGGCTGCTGTGGTGGTGTCAGTCCTGTTGGAAGCGAGCAGGTAAACACTGAGGCGCGGCTTGTTCTTGCAGTGTTTTATCTTCCTGTTCAGCCTGTGGGACCTTC